TGTTTCTATAGTTCATCATACTAATGGATATGAAAACTAAGAAATTTGCAGATCATAAATAATTTTCAAATTAATATTATTTAGACATAGAGAGAACAGTAACTCATCTCTACCACTACATAATTTTGCAACACAAGTTTGTTAAAACAAAAGCTACTTTCACAAGTTTAAAATAGTATAGTTAGTTCCCAGAGTGCCTTCAACTGGACATTAACCAGGGGGAAGTGAAACGTTACTTTCCCAAAATCTTTTTGACATCCAAATCCTATTTGATGGATCCTATTAAAAACAAACCCCACTTCATATAAAGCTGCTAAGAAGTCCCTGCAATAAAATGGTTAAAAGAGGATTTTGAGTAGCAGTTGAAAGTTGCTGATTGGTAAAACAAGATTCACAAGAAAAGAAAGTGGTGTTATGCAGAGTTCTCTTTTTTTTTTTCTAGATTGACTCAGAAAAATAATTCTCCTGCATATGTGTAGAAATTACATTCTGCACATACACTGAAGGGTTAATGTGTCTAATCCATGTTCTGTAGCAGGCCCAGGGCCTGCAAGGCCTCCTTGGTGGTCAGAAGCCTGAGCTAGGAAATGCCAAGTCATGATGACTGGGCCCTAGAGGCCCCTCTCTTCCACCTTCAGACCCTGCTTATCTCTCTATAAGCCTATAGGTCACTTTCCCCTGACCCTTACTATTGGACAATTTTCAAAACCCCTGTAAGCTATATAATGCCCTACTCCTGCCCAGTTCAGTAGAAGAGCTGTCACTGAGAACCTTCGTGGAAGACTGCAATAAAGAATTCTTCGGAACCTTACACAGCGCTTCTCCTCTCTCTCCCAGCATCTGCTGCGGCACCTAGCAAGCTAAAGAGCTGAAATCACAAAGAGCTGATAATCACTAAGAGCTGATATCACTGTGAGCTGAAATCACAAAGAGCTGATAATCACTAAGAGCTGATATCACGTGAGCTTACTTAGGTTTCCTGCAGCTAGCAGCTGCTTGGGAGCTCAGACATGCTGTGCTGAGCACCACTGAGCTATCCTGGCCAAGGCAGCCCACCGGGCATACCCCGGCTGGAAGCCGCCCAATAATATTCTGTTCAGTGGGATTTTTTTCATTAATCATAGTTGTACAAATAATGCAGATTTTTAAATAAATTAATGCTTGTTCTGTGAAGGAAGCACAGGAAAAAGTATTTTGATGTTCTGCCGGTGTTCAAAAGTTTATCTTTAAATATAGTTTTAATATGATAATGTCTGGGATTGTTTATATTATCTTTAGTAGGATTTCTCCAACAAATACATAGGAGAACTCATTACGTTAAAACAGACATTGTAATGCATTTCTATGCATTGAGAAGATATTTTTTTCATGGTGGAAATGTGTTTTTGCAAGCATACACAGTTCTGAACTAAGTGCTAAATGCTAGGTTTTTCAAAGCAGTATAGACCGTTTGTCTATAACAGTCAGAAATTTTTAATTGCAGGCAACACATTATCTACTTTAAATAAATTATGGCAAGAAAAAGGAACAGATTCATTATACTGCCAATGAAGAGATTCAAACACAGTACTAAGTACCAGAATTTTCACCATCTGAACATCTCATTCTAATGTCAGTTATCTTAGCCCCAAAATAACTGGCTGTTGGTTGTGCTCATGTTCCCTCTGCTCAGGACAGCTACAGTTCATGAAGTGCTAATTTGCTATGTGCTTAATTTTTTGTTCAGCCATCAAGAATGATGCATAGCCATTAGAAATTAATCTCTGTCTGTTATTCTAACATTCATTTGCAGGTCTCATGCAAGTGTATGCAAGGAAATTTCCAAAGGTATTGCTGGAAAGTGGGACCCAATGGACAATACTTTTTCTTGATGATTGATTTCTTACCTGCTGTTTTTGCCTTTGAAAAATGTGCCCCAAAGAATTTCTTCCTGTGGAAGGCCTACAGGAAAACAATTTCTGAATGGAGTAAAGCTAGAAAATACACTGTATTCAAGATAAAAGACTACATTTTTCTCTTAAGAATCTAATTTAGGGGGAAAATTAAGAAGATCCTAACCCCAGATTTATTGACCAGATGAAAAAGAGAGAATTGGAAGATAATGGGTATGGTTAAAAAAGTCTACAAAATGTTTTTGAAAAAATCTGAGGATTGGAAATATTAGCGTTAAAACAGCTGTAAATGTGTTACCTCAGTTTCAAATGCATTAAAATGTTTTGATCTGACATCTCATGTTCCAGGAAACAATTACCAATATGGGTTGGAAAGACAGGAAGATTAAGGGCATCTAAAACTATCTGACATTACATAATCATAAAATCATGCTACAAAGTGTAGCAACTTTGAAGATTGTGTAAGTGAATGGAATTCACTCTTGTGTCTGTTTCTGAGGTTTGCCATACCAGACTAGGAGCCAGTTCTTGCTTTGTGTGAGGCAGTTTCTTGCATGTCAAGGAAGGGATCTCTTGAGGCCATGTGCCCAATCCACATCCCCCCTGGTTCAAGGCATGGTTGGCTAAAGCAAGTTCCTTAATACCTTGTCTGGTCATTTCTGAACATCTCCAAGGATGGCAACTCTGTGCAACCTTATCCAGTGTTTGACCTCACCATAACAATGAGGGGTTTTTTTCTTATGTTTAAATGGTGTTTCCTGAATTTCAGTTTATGCCCATTACCTGTTGTCCTTCCACTGGATACCACTGAGAAGAGTCTGGCTTTATATACAGTGGGATTCTCACTCACCAGTTTTGCAGATGACACCAAGCTGAGTGCTGCAGTTAATGCAGGAGGGAAGGGATCCCATCTGAAGGTACCCTGACAGGCTTGAGCAGTGGGCCTCTGTGAACCTCACGAAGATCAACGAAGGCCAAGTCGTACAACTTGGTGTGGGCATTCCTCAATATCAACACAGACTGGAGAATGAAGGGATTGAGAGCAGGTCTGTGAAGAAGGATTTGAGGATAGATACTGGTAGATGAAAAATAGGATGTGACCCAGCAATGTGCACTTGCAGACCAGAAAGCCAGCCATGTCTTTGTCTGCATCAAAAGCAGCATGGCTAGCAGGTTGAGGGGGTGGTTCTGCCCCTCCGCTCTGGTCTCATAAGACCCCACTTGAGTACTTCACCCACTTCTGGAGTCCTCAATACAAGAAAGACATGGATCTATTGGAGCAGGGTATGAAGAGGGTATGAAAATTATTAGAGGGATGATGGAACACCTCTCCTGTGGGGAAAAACAAAAAAAAACAAAAAAAAAACAAAACAAAAAAAAAAGATCTGAAAGAAGTTGTTCAGCCTGAAGAAGAAAAAGTTCCAGGGAAACCTTTCAATATATAAAGGGGGTAATAAGAAAGATAGAGAAAGACAAGACTTTGAGCTCGCAGCTCTGGTAAGAGAGACCCTTCCATTGGCAGAGTGGTATTGGATCTCTGAAGGTTCCATTCAACCCAAATCATTCTATGGTTCTATGACTCTGTGTTTCTATACAGGCAGCCAGTAACAGGACAAGGGGCAATGGCTTTAGACTAAAAGAGGACAGGTTTAGACTAAGTGTTAGGAAGAAATTATTTACTCAAAGGGTGGTAAAGCACTAGAGGAGGTTGCTCACAGAAGTTGTCAATGCCCTGTTGCAGAAAGTGTTGGAGGACAGATTGGGTGGGGCCCTGCAAAACCTGATCTTGTGGGTGATATCCCTGCCCAAGGCAGTGGGCTGGGAATCAGGTGATATTTAAGGTCTCAGCCAACCCAAACCATTCTGTGATTCTATACACCATTCAGATACACATAAACGATAAGATCTCCCTTGAGCGTTCTCTGCTAAACTAAATCCCGGCTCTCTTGGTCTTTCCTCATTTAAGTATCAATATATTTCCTTGACTCAACTGATATAAACCTTCATTTCAATAAAAAGGGATGTTTTTGCAGGCCAATGATACAGTGCAAAAAATAATTTAGAGACTTGAGAAGTAATTTTAGAATTCTAAAATCTTCTTCCAGTTGCAAAGCCAAGTGTTTAGCTTACTGTGTTGTGTTGGGTGTCTAGAGAGAAAGAAATCTGGAATGTTGGGCACTAATTCTCAGTTCAGATATGTATTCTCCACTGTGGTAAAGAATTAGTTAAAAATCAATGTGGGGTGGTTTTTTTCCTTTCTTTTTCTATTTTTTTGAAATTTCTGTAAGTTTAGTATGCCTAATTCATCTAAAAATCTCTTAAAAATCTGAATTTCATGACTGAAATTATACAGGAAATTAGAATTCACCAATTTCCATTAAATTCTGACTTCAGTTCTAGTATGTACATACATATTTTATATGTATATGTATGTGTCGATGTATGTAAATATAAATCAATAAAATCCTTATATCTTTTCATTCTTATTTTTTCTCTTGAGTTCTTTGGCAATTTCAGTTGCCTGCCAGAGATAATACTCTACTTTGATAACCGCTAATGAAATTCTATATACTTTGATGAACAGGAAGTCAGAATTTATTAAATTGCTTAAAGGACTGAATACATTTTGAAGAGTGAAGTGTAAAAAAATCAGAAAGGAGTGGTATAACTGGAGTATTTTAATGCATTTTTTTCTAAATATTTCTACTAGATAAAATCCAAATGAGTTAGTTATCCAAATCAGCAGCATACCACAGTTTTTACTCCCTTTTTGAAGTAATTTGACAGAAGCTGTAGGCTAATTAAGGCTATTTATAAGAAATTAAAGCAGGTCATAAGATATTTTGTGCCATACTGCTTCAAGATAGAATGGGAAGGGAAAAATATTTGTTACTGAAATTGTGAAATAGGTGGTTAGAACCAAATGTCACCCTAGAATCAGTTACGCTAAAAATGCCTGGATCATGTGGTCCTTGTGGCAAGGATTTTCTGTTGTAAATGTAGGAATCTGGACTTGATGAACACTATTCTTATCTTGAAAAATTGTAACATTTGAAAAGTAAAGTCACATAAATTAATTTCTTAAATCTCAGTAATAATGTTTTACAGGTATCCTGTGTTGTGCAACAATCAAGAAATCCAAAGTAGGTTCAAATAAATGTCTGCCATTTCTGCTTCTTCATGCAAGTTTCACCATTCTACTCTGCAGAACTGCTGCACCTTCTATCTAGCAAGCACAGCTACAGTGATTTGTGAGTAGTGACAATCTCATCTTCCATGTGAGAGGTGTTTTTCTGATGTCTGCTCAAGCCATATGCTCCCATCCAAGCCAAGAGGACACCATGTTTAGCTCAGTGTTGACATCATTACCAGAAGTGTTAATACATTTTGCCTGTCAGCACTGCCTTAATTGAAGCTGTGCAGCATTAAATCTGTAATCTGAACTCTGAGTGGTGTGCTGAGTTCAGTGTCATTTGTTTGCAGATGAAATAATTTCATGCCACTGCATTTAGCCTTATGGTGTTTCTGGTGTTTATTGGGATAATGAATAAAGATCGGGCAGGATTGAACCTTTGTGAGGAACACCCTTAAAACACCCTTAAATGCTGTAGCAAGCGGTGGTGGTTACTCAGCAGATGCTGATCTTTTTTTCCAGTTAGTTATCAGACAGTGCCATGTCAGGACACTTGGTTGTTGTTTGTTTTTTTTATCTCAAGCAAAGTGAAAGTTCTGGTTAAAAACCTAATCAGAGAATGGAAAGTGTATATTTAATAATCATAATCATAATCATAATAATAAATTTAAAATCAGATACTTATGTGTAAAACTGATAACCGGAAAATTTCCACTTATAGCTAGAAAGAAACCAATTTATGAGTGTCATGCAACTAGTAAATTAATAACTTGATTTCCTTGGACTGCTGTAACATGAGATACTTAAGATCTTGCAGCATTTCAGTGTATAAATTTAGATTCTGAGTGCCACAAGTCAAGTGGAAGCACAGGGATGATAGGCAACAGAGTAGCAGTCAGCACAGCTGCATTGGGGAAAGCATGGGCATGAAAGCAGTTACAAACACTTGGTATTTTAGAAGCAAACTTTAAAAACAGTTCTGAAATTGCACTAAGCTAAAATTCTTTCATTTATACTTTCATACCTGTAATGTATCAGGATCTAAGGTAACAGTCCCTGATAATGTCCTTGAAGCAGTTTTCATATGCAATAACTTGTTGAGAATTTATTTCCAGAAAGGATATTGTACTCCAGATCCCTTGCTGGCAGTATAATGTAATTTTTGTGTTTTAATAATTTTTCCAGTAGATGGCAGTAGCAGCTTATTGGCTGATGAATGAGCACCATCATAGTGCACTATATGAACACACAGTAGTAAAACCCAAATATGTTCCTATGCAGGTACTTAACACACAACTGATCTGTAATTGTGTCTGTTACAAGTGTGTCACCTCTTTGCCATATCTGAACATGAAATCTTTTCTGAGTATTTTCCTTTTGAGTCTGTTGGTTTGCTCAGATATATGTGATAGTATAAAACTAATAAAGCTGTTACAGGGCTACAAAGAGTTAGGGACAAATAAATCTCAAAGTGTGCTTGGTTCTGAAGTCATTGGATTGTGCCTACATTTGAAAACTGTTGTGGGTTACTCTGAGTTGATTAATTTTATAATGTCTTACATTCAGATTAAAATGCTTTACTCTAAATTATCTGACATTAAATTGCGCTTTTATGATTGGAATTTTACTCAAATAATATTATGTGCCAAAATAATGTTGTGCCAAAATCAGAATGGATGATTCTGCATTGCAAAACATGTCATGTTGCAAGACTGTCAAAACCCGCCATTGTTCTTCTAATTTGTTTTGCTGCTTCTACGCTTTCTGTCCATCCATGTTCCCTTTTCTGTCCTGGAGACATATTATAGAAATTGTTTTTGTGCTGTTCAAACACTGATCCAAAGACTTTTATGTGGTCGTGCTGAGTTCATAAGGAGTTCACAAACCAAAGCTCTTGGTGCTTCATCTGCCATATATGATGTTGGATGGAGTCATGTCCTGAGAAGCTTGGAGAAAACCTGCATTATTTTAACTGATCTGCAGTCGTATAAACAGTCACCATTATACAGATGAAGGAATACATGGAATTAAATCTGGTTTTGCCAAATATCTCAGAAGTATATTCTAGATAAGAATTATAAGTGATCTGGTGTTTTTATGGGAAGTTTGATGATATCTTGGCAACTGGGCATTAGCTGTCTCGATAACACAAACACGAGAATGTCAAACACTGCATCTCAGAATCCCCTAAAGAGTTACGGGGAACGAGAAGACCCTGGAAAACACTGAAGAATCAGCCTGAATCACAAGCAGAGGACAAAATGAATGCATAGGGTCAAATCCAGTAAATATAACTTAATACAGTGATATTCAGCTTCAGTGAAGGAGGGTAGGGAGGTTTAAATAAGTTAATGGCACATTTTTCCAGCCTTTTTTTGTTTCATGGATTAAGTGCTTTGCCTACTACCTTGCCTGCGTCCTGGCTTCTGTTCAGCTGTACTGCATACGACCTGTTGGCACTTCCCTATTTCTCTAAGTACACACTAGAAGAAACAGTGTCCCACTCGGTCCCAGATCACGGTGCTTCATCTCTTCCTTTCTGCCGAGTTCACTCTGAATCTCTGAAAAGAGTGTTTTTCAGGTGACAGTTTTAAAGACAGACTTACAGAGAAGGGTGAGTGATATCTTTGAGAGGATCAAAGAGCACATGTTAACTGTGGTGAATGCTTTGTGGGGTGCTCCCAGGACGAGTGGAGAGATGCGAATCTCGACTCCATGTTTCAGAAGGCTGGTTTATTATATTATGATATATACTATATTACAATGCTATACTAAAAACTATACTAAAAGAATAGAGAGAAAAGGATTCATCAGAAAGCTAGAAAGAAGAAAAATGGAATGTATAACAAAGACTTGTGACTCTCAGAGTCTGAGCCAGCTGCATCTGTGATTGGCCATTAATTAAAAACAACCAACATGCCCCAATCACAGGTGCACCTGTTGCATTCCACAGCAGCAGACAGTTATTGTTTACATTTCTTTCCTGAGGCACTCAGCTAAGGATTTTTCATAAAATATCATGGCTAGATGTAACTCTCAGCTTTCCACTAATATACTGTCAATATGTATCTTTACAATATTCACAGAAGCCTCCAGCTTATCAGTGGTCATTAATTTCTGTGGCTTGACAAGGCTACCAGTTTTCAGTGTGAAGCTTCATATCACACCTGGGGAGTAGCTATGCATGTGAGGAAGGTAACTTTTTCTCCTTTTTTCCTTGTAACTCTAATGCTATGGAAAAGAAAGAGTGGGGAGCAGGAAGGGGTAATGAATGATGATGTAAAGGCCAACAACTTCTTCACATACATACCGAAGTAGTCATTTGAATCTACACAGTGCTATGAAAGCCTACTACAATATTTCTATAAGATAATTTATTGGTATTGCTATCTGATGAATAAAGGACTTGATGACTGTTTTGGATCATTGATCCTCCTTTTATTTCATCATCATAACATATTCAAAGATTCTGAAATAACACAGAAATGTCAACCTTGTTACAAGGTCTGTATTACAAACTTGCATGAATGTGCAGAAAAAAAACCATTAAGTGTGGTAACACTTATCAAATCTGATTAAACTATAATAAACAATACACTGAGCCAAGAAGACATGTAGCATTCCTAAGAATGTCTTCTATGAAAAAATGTATACTGATGAAAAGCTGAAATTACTATCAGTATGTGAGTGCAATACATTCTTAATTTTTTGATTTTGTCTCATTTTAATGAGTTCTCCTTTCTGACTTACCAGGCTTGCTTTTCTTCTACTCTCTTTGCAAGGTTCTTTCTTACTTGGTCTCCTGAGCTTCTGCAAAACACATCCAGCAGCAATCAAAGGGAACATGGAAGGCAAGACCAGCACAAGTTTTCTACTTCCTCTCTATCTCTCCACTCAGAAAAGCAAATCTTCAGCACTGTGCCTGAAACAGTAGGAGCAAACAAATCCATGTTTGCTGGGGATGTGCAATTTACAATTGCAGCATCCACATGGGAATGACCTATTACAGGATGCTTCTCACCAGTGACCCACCTTGTCTCTGTCATGCGTACCACAGCAGATGGAGCACGACATCATGTGATACGTCCGTGACCATTGTGCTGGACTTACTAATTTTTTGTTGTCTGACTTGGTTTGTACAAAGCTTGTTGTGCACACTCCCACTGCCCAGTGGGACAAATTCTTTCAACCTTGAAGCTCCTCTGTCATTAGCAAAGTTTCCCTTCTATTGGTCTTATTGCCCCTTCTATTGGTTCTATTACCCTATTTCTTTTTTATTTCTTGAAAAAAGGCAGTCAGGAGCAAATTATGATGAACACAGGTAGTTGTTGCCAACATATACAAAGTGGAGAGTAACTTGTGAATCAGGATGATCTGCAAAGGAGAGCAGTGGCTTCAGGCTCAGTCAAAACCAAATCGTTTTACAGAGCTGGCATTCTCTAAATCAAGGAAGTCTATTGATTGTCAAAATGTTTGAGGTTTTTTTTGAACTCTATACCCCAATGTTCATAAACAGAGAAAAATATTCCTCTGTGGTATACTAGTGTTCGGTCTGCATATGGAAAATTCACGTACGGTAATGAGATATATAGGTAAGACCAAGATGTAATACAATGCCACATCCATAAGACTGAAAGACCAAGATTCTAGAAGTGGAAAAAAACCACTCCTTGCACCTGCTCAAAATAGGCCTGTAGAAAGCAAAAGTTCTCCTAGGCAAGACCTGGCAAGCTGCCCATGATGTCGAAATGATTTGCGGTGACCCTGCTCTATTACAACTCCATCAATTCTAGGTCCTGTGCAACTTGCCAGTCTGGATGAATATTTCAGCGTCAATTACATAATTCTAGTGAACACTGTATCTTTGAAGTTGTTGTTGGACTAAAAATATGACAGGTCATTGGCTTCTAGACTAGTCCTTTCACACACATTCTACATAGCTGACTGTTTGACCTTCCTGACACTGGTAATGTCAAGTTCCTGAAACACAAACAGAAGCTTTGGCAGACACCAAGAAGTTATCCACTACTTTTCCCACCCTAGGTAAGTATTTGTCTCATGTGCATACAA